CCCCCCCCCCCCCACGTCTCTGCGTACACCAACTGATGACACCGCACACGCACGCAATTCGTTATGTCCGCCGGCTTGTGGCAAAAGAGTCGCGTGGCGCGAGGACGGGACGCGACTGGTCTCGGCGTCGGACGACCGCACCGTCCGCGTTTGGGACGTGGAACGCCGCTGTGAGGGCGGGAGCGGCGGCAGCGGCGGGAGCGGCGAGAACAGCGGAGAAGGCAACGGCAAGGAGGAGGAGGAGGAGGAGGAGGAGGAGGAGGAGGGCAAGACAGCAGCGAGGGAGGAGGAGGGACGTGATGGTGGGGGAAGGCTTGTTTGGACGGGCTGGGGACACACCTCGAGGGTGTGGGACGTTGGCTTCGCCAGCCTCGGTATTGTCTCGTGCGGAGAGGTGAAAGAATCCTTACGAAGACGCTTGTGGTTGATATGTTCAACCACCCTCCCTTAACGCACACGTTTGTGCTATGTTGGGTTAATGGCAGTTATTTGGTTGGGTTTGTGATTCGTTTGACCCGAGCTTGCTGTTCACGCTCGGGAGACCCCAAAGGCTCTTGGCCATTGGTTTGGCAGCCTCTTCTGGATGCATCGATGTGTTTGGGTGCATGCCTGTGGAAGAAATTGCTCGGAATATTTCATTTCTTGTCCAATTTTGTTGCGATGATGCTCGTGTGTATGCATACGACTACATTGTTTCGTCACTTCTTCTCAATACTTTTTGCGCTGAATCACAACGCAGGACGGCACGGCGATCCTTTGGCGAGAAAAGCGTGACTTTGGAGGAGACCACTCCGCCGCCATCGCCCCCTACAACGCAACAGCGCCACATGTAGGACCACCATCGACGACGACGACGACAACAACGTTACAAGCAGCATCAATAGCAACAGCGACAGCGACAGCAACAGCAACAGCAACAGCAACAACATCAGCCCTTGCCACCCTCCGAAAACGCCGACAAGGGCAGCTGGTGCCGGTAGCGACCCTTCGCGGCCACAGCGGCGCCAGCGTCTGGAGACTAGCTGTGCACGACTTCCCCCCCCACTCGGCGGCCACAAGCGGCTGCGGCGGCGGCAGCAGCGCTGGCGCTTTTGCCGGCGGTGGCTTTGGACACGAATCGGGGAGGGCGCTGACCCTTCTGGCGACGGGAGGGAATGACGCGGTGTGTAAGCTGTGGGACCTCGGGTTCGAGGCTTCCTGCGAAAAGGGGGGAACAAGGTGGGGCGTGAGCACCAATAGCTAGACCAGACGCCGCTCAAAGTGGTGGCGTTCGTCACCTCCGTCCTGACCCGGTCGTTTTGGTGATGACCTTGGTATATGCTTGACTGTTCGTGGGTGTGGCAACTGCTCTTTTTGCCGGATATACTGTAGCATCCGGACAGCTTTTGGCTACTCGGCCAAGACCAAACGCTACGCCGCAAGGTACAGCAGCACCGCTCCGGCTGTGTCGTGGACGCGGTCGCCTGTCTCCAAGGCGGCCGCCGCCTTCCTCTGTCTTTCGGTTATTCCCGCTTCTCCCTCTTTCTCTCGCTCACACACACCGCTGTCCCAGTAGCTAGCTTGCGATACCTTACCCTAGTGTACCTTTTTTCGTGCACCGTACAGCAGGCACGACGCGCTTTGGGGTGAGACGCCGACAGTACCCGCCGACCGCCACGCCGCAGCCGTACTCACCCCCCAGGCTGGCGGAGAAGGGAAAGGAGCTGCCGCCGCCACCGTAAAAGCGCACGAAGACGGACGTCTTCTTTCGGCGGCGGCGGTGGCGGCGAGTGCACCCGTCCTTCCCGCCGACAAGACCGAATTCCAGCACAGATCAGCGGCAGCGGCGGCGGCGGCTGTTGCTACGGCGACCGGTGAGCGGGGCAGCAACAAGCCTACGGAGCAGAGCACGGACGCACCGCCCCCCCGGCCGCCGCCGCCGCCGCCGCTGCCGCCGCCGCCGGCATCAAAGAACCAGATGCGGGTCGAGGAGGATCGGGCCTCCTCAAGGCGGCGGCGACGGGGACGGGGAGAACGACAGAAGCCGGCGGTAGTCGTTCGAGAGATAAGGCTGGCGCGGGGTGGGTCGGCGGCGGCGGCGGCGGCGGCGTTGCTTCTTGGGGATGGGAGCGTCTGGTGGGTGTCCGACCTCGCCGTCGGCTCCTGGCAGGAGGTGACGACGGCGGCCAAGGGCGGGATGCTGCTGCCGGCAGCCGAGGGTGTCCTGCCGAGTGATGGCGTGTCGGCGATCGCCGTGGTGGGGGGGCGGCGGCGGCGACTACCGGGACAGCGTAGCAGTCCCTCCGAGGCAACCACGACAACAACTGACGGCAGCAGCGCCGCGGGCGACGGTGGTGGCGGTGTCGCGGGAAGAGAGCACGGCGGCCGCAAAGCCGGCGGAGACGCGACGAATTCCGACGACCACGACTGTCCCGTTTTCGGCGGCGGTGGTAGGGATGAAACGACCGTCGTTGTTGCCGGTCGCGACGACGGCTGGATGTTTTTGCTTACCCGGCCCCCGCCGACTGAAGCTGCATCCTCATCAGGAGGAGAACCCAACCACGCTCCCGACCGTGCCACCGATCACGGGGAGGACAAGGTCGGTAGGGGCGGCTCATCCTCGACCGGCCCCTGGCGCGTGGGCGCGGCTTGGCGAGGCCACCGCTCTCGTGTCACCGCCATCTGGGCAGTGGGTGACGCCGACCACGACAGCGGCGGCAGTAGATCCACAAGTACGCCCATAGGAAGGGAAGGGGCAGGAGGAGGAGGAGGAGGAAGGTGCCAGGGCTTTTTCACGGCTGCCTTGGACACGTCCAGGTTGCACACCTCGCCTGGCGCCGGCAGCGGAGGGAAGTGCAGCGGTATTTTTAGCGGGGCGCTTGTTTCGGTCGGATCCGACGGGACGGTGGCGTGGTGGGAGTGGGGGGGGGAGGGGGGTCGTGCCGACGAGGCCGGGAGGAGCGAGGTCGACGAGAGGGAGCACGCCGCCGGTGGTTCGGAGCCTCGGAGCGGGGGGATGGGCATACGCCCGCCTAAGCTTCGAATGGTAATGCGCGTTCGTCAACCTGACAAGTAATTAGCGTGACAAGAATAATCTTTTTCTTCCGAAAACCTATTGTGTTGTGCTAGGCACCGCCCCCTGCACACACAGTCGTTGTGTCGCCCTCGTTTGTGTTGTTCTTGAAGTCGGTTCTGTAGATGTTGTTGACGATGATATCAATGGAAACGTTATTTCATCTCAAGGGGCGGCATCACTCACAGGTCACCTGACCTTTGGAGATCTTGGGTGATAGATTCCGGTTCAGCTTTCCACCACACCAGACCTACAAGTATTGTCTTCGCTCTCCGGAAACCCTCTCCCGGTGCCAATACAACCTGACTCCGATGGGATGAGATCTACGTGTGTTTTTTGAAGGACAGGGCTACTACTAAAGTGTACCCCTCCTCTCTACAATTACCTCCCGCGGGACAGGTTTGCCGGGCCGAGCCCGGTGCCGCCGTCACCAGCGTCGCGATCGACGACCGTCGGCGTCAGCTTTGCCGCCGCCGCCCTCGCCCGTCGTCCTTGCGGAAGAAGAACAGCAGTCGTCGAGGCCGCGACGAGAGTGTCGGCGGCAAAGCGAAGCTTGAGCCGAACACTTCCGACAACGACGCACGAGGCAAGATCGGAAAAACGCCTCCTGCTGAGGTGGCCGCGGCGGCGAGAGCTGTCGTCTTTTGCGGGGACACTAAGGGCAACATCCGCTGCTTTTTGGAGGAGGAGGAGGAGGAGGAGGAGGACCAGCCTTTGCCGTGTGTCGGGCTCGATGGTGGCGGGGGGGAGGAGGACGGCGGGGGGGAGGCTGCGCTAGAGCGGGGGGCCGAGCCGAGCGCTTTGGGGCAGGGAGTCGCGCCGTGCTTGGTGCTCAAGCGGCAGCACGGCAAGGATCAGGTGTGTGTGCGAGAGAGAGTCCGAGGCTCTTCGATCAGACACGACTATTTAGCTGCTCTGGACGACTTTCGTTTCTTTTGCTCGGCGGGTCGCGCTACCGTTATGTCGATCGCGCTTTTTGATTCTCGCCCGGAAATGCCACCGGCTTCACTTCAACGGTTCTGAACGAGCTGGTGCTGCCCGCAGCATCCGAACCCTGCTGGTGTCTACCGCGTACAGTAGCCTCGAGGTACACTCGCCATCAAGTGCGAGCCAAACCCTTCGTGCTACTGTATGTCGCTGTTCTCGACAAGTGCGGCACGGAAAACACGCCGCGTTGACCACATCAACGTACACACACACGCGCGCGCGCGCACGCGTCCAGCAAGAACCCATCGAAATCGACTATGGCTTTCTGCACCGCGAGCATTTCCCGAAAACGTGCGTGTTCTCCGTCCGCCCTTGTCTATCGCGGTGTGAAATACCAGATCAGCCGGATGGCTCTGTGGGGGGGGTGCCTGTTTTCCGCCGGACACGACGGGCAGGTGAACCATTACTTCATCTCCTACTGCTACCCGTTACCGTCCTCTCCGGACCCTGTCTCGCCGAGCTCCGAACGACGTCGTTGTGCAGCCTCTGGGGGGTGCGGGGTAGCCGCTTCCTCTACGCCGCCGGTGTCTGCGGTGGGGACAGATGATGGCGATGATGCTTCGCTGGAGATCCAGCGGCAGCGGCGGCATCGACTACGAGCGGCGTGTGGTGATGATGATAGGTCGACGGCATCGTCACCATCGGCACCAGCAGCAGCAACAGCAGCACCAGCACCAGCACCAGCGGCACCAGCAGTGCCATCACCAGCGGAGAGCGGGAACAGAGCAGTATCAGCAGCACCAGCACCAGCACCAGCACCAGCACCAGCGGCGGCAGCTGGCCACTTTATCGACAGCTGCTCCGCACCGGCGCCGTCGCGTTTTCCCCAGCCGCCGCCGCCTCCGCCGCCGCCACCCGTGATGCTTTCGATCGTCACCACGTACGCAACCGCTCCCGTAACCTCGGTCTCCGACCTGTGGGTGACCAGCGACGGAGGAGGCTCCTGCGGCGACGGCGTGGCTCGCAACGGGCAGGGGGGCCGTGGGGCGAGAATTGGGGCGGGGGTTGGGGGGGGCGTTCGCCTTGCGGTGGCCGGGAGGTCCGGTTCATCTCGAATGTCGGTCTGGGACATCGCGGAAGGTCGCCAACTACTCGAGGTGTGGAGGGTTGTACAGTAAGCAGCCCGATGTAGTGGCTTGCAGTGGCAAGAGGAGGAGCTGCCACTTCTCAGGGCAGTGGGCCGTGCCACTATTCGATAGTATATCGAGTTCATGTACATGTTAAGATTGTGACAAGTGATGCCACTATATCGTCAGCTCCACTATTCAAGATGTTAGTCTACTTATATATATCGGATCACCTTCTGTATGTCGTTTTTTAGGGCGAGTTTTTTGTGTTGAGGGGGGGGGCTTTTGATTGAAGACCGTTGTTGAGCCGCAAGAAAATGATTTTTTGTGCGTTTCTTGGGAGGGTGGCCACACCCGTCTCTCCCGTACCCACAAGCGCTGATTGAAGATTTGTTTATCTTCCACGACGACAACAGGGTTAAGATTGTTGGCGGTTTTGAGGTACTGTCGAAGGTGCAATCGACCCGGGGGCCTAGTTGTATTTGAGACATTTTTTTTTTCGTTCACTCAAGTGACCAAGGTAAGCGCACGCTCGTGCTCCCCAGGTGGATCGATCCTCAAAACTGCTGTTGTTGATGTGTTTGACGACTGACTCAACTTGTATGGGGAACGGGGCCTTGTCTCAGCGTATGGGCAGTTTTTTCTTGGCGCGGCATCAGCTTATAGCTTACAAAGGAACCAATAAGACGCACGAGCTGTAATATGCACATACGGAGATATATTTGTTCGGCCACGCCTCTTCGTAGAATCGAACCAAATTGCCCTCTGCTACAATTCCGTTATTTATGGGGGGGGTTTCCCGCAACAGCTCGAGTGCGGAGACCGGAACCTCGCCCAAGACCTGTTCTTGGTCTGGCCCAGGAGTGCGACCGGCTTCCCGGGGTCCGACGCGCCATTCCGGAGGCGGGCGGATCACGTTTCCGCGACGACGGCTGTGCCGCTGCCGAACCTTACCGACGAGGCCATCGACCTCGACACGCACGAGAATGGTACCATCGCCGCCGCTGCCGTAGAGCTACCGCGGGGTGGTGCTGCTGGTGTTGGCGGACCGGAAGCTTCTTGTTGTTGTTCTTCTTGTTCTTCTTCTTCTCGAAGGCTGTGCGGTGGCGGGATCGAGGCTGCTGCTGCCGCCCCGCCGCCGCCGCCACCGCCGTCGCGGATGTTGCCGCCCCGTCACACGTTTGTCTTCGCGCGGCCCGTTGCGATGGTCGAGGAAAGTGAGAGCAGCAGCAGCAGCAGCAGCAGCAGCAGCGCCGACCGTACGGTAGTAGGAACAGCCGGAGCGAGGGGCATCGTCGAGGACGAAACGAGGACAGCCGGCGGCGGTTCGAGCCCTCCCAACAAGAAAACGCCAGCCGCGACAGGTGCTGGAGCACAGCAACAGCTGCAGCGACGGTCCCACCAGGAGCGGAATCGTCAGCGGCGGGGGGTGGGCGTGGCGCTAGCGTTTCACTCGTCGCTCATACCCCCGCCGGGGGGGGGGGGGGGGGGGGGGGGGGACGCGG